ACTCTCAAAAAAAAAAAAAAAAAAAAGAATATGAGAGGCAACCAAAGGAAGGCAGGGAGATGTGGTTAAATAGAGCAGAGCACGAGCACAGTAAGCGTGGCCTCATGTTGTCTACCCTGGTGGACCGATGGTGAGGCTGGTGGGTCCCCACTAGGGCCGGGGGCCATAGTTTTCAGGTATCCCGGTTCTGGGCCCTCGCCCATTCAAGGGTTTCAGTAGCCCAGGGAGGGTCCTGTTCCAGCCAGTTTCTGGAGGAAAGTTTAGTCCCCGGGGACAGATGGGCCTAGAAGGCAAGGAGGACTCAGGGGAAGACGGTAGAAAGAATCTCGAGTGGGCAGGCTGCACATCACCTCCTTCTGGACCAGGGCGGAGGCAGACCCAACAGCCCTGAGACTGCGCAGGCGTTACGGAATTCCAGTAGCCCAAGAGTGGCCCTTCGGGGTTCGGCGCCCTCTGGTGTTCACTCCTGAGAGCTGCTCCTCTTTCCTCGACCAAGGTCATTCCAGATTTGAGCGACCCCGGAGGAAGCCTTACCTCTTGAGCCGGGACCAGCCGTCTCTTGTCCTAGAGACAGAGGGGAGCCACCTCACGGAACCTGGAGGAGAGCACGCCCTGAATCTGGTCAGTGTCCGGGGCGGCCTGTGCGTGGCTCTACGGCTGCCACACCAAATGGCCAAGCGGCTCCGTTTCTGGGCCTCAGTTTCCCGTCTTTCCCGGGCCTCCCAAGGGGAGGCATTTGGGGACCTCGACCCTTGGTTCTCCCTGCGCTTTCCCACCCCCGCCTCTGTGGGAACTCCAAGCTTCAGAAGTGGAGTGATGCTGATAAGGAACATCTGTGCGGGAAGTCGCCCCCGGGGCCGAAGGCGATGGGGTGAAAACAGACCCCAGGCAGCTCACGGTGGACCCGGGGCGACCCCCCGTGCAGGCGATGGTGGAGCACCGTCTGGAGATCCTGACCCTGGGAGTAGACGGACTCGGCCCCGAAACTCTGGTGAGCACAGAGCAGGGAGGGCTCCAGATGGCTCATTACAGGCCACTCATGGCGATGGGCGCTACTGGTGAGTCCTGTGGGGCTGCAGGCTGAGCTGTGGGAACAGCACGCATGGGAGGTGAAAGGGCTATGACCTTCTCCTCTAGGCTCTGCGGTTCGGGCCCCCAGGGGACGCCCTGTACAAAGGGGCATGTCGCACTCAGTCAGCAGCTCCCGAGAGCACGAGATTCTACCCAGACACGAAGTCCTGACATCACGACCACCACCCAGGCACTCAGCTTCATGAAGGACCCCACTCCAGCCTGCCAAGTCAGAGGGGATGCCGAGGAAGATCTAGGTATCACGCAGGACCTGAGGCGAAAATAGGAAGAGGTGTCACACGTCCAGACAAGCGTCGCAGACGGGACCTCCAGGGCCTCGGGTGTCCCAGCAGCTGGTTGAACTGGGGAAGGTGGTCTAGTTCATGAGGGGCGGGGCCCGAGCGCGAGGGGAGGAGCCGAGAGCAGACCCCCCTGCACGATGGTAGGGTGGGAGGAGGTGCAAGTGGACGAAACTTACACCAAGGGGCGGGGCTACACTGTGGGGCGGGGCCGGGGCCTACCAATCGAGTTGCTAAGGAAGCCTGGTCAGTTGGCAGGGAGGCGGGGCCAGCTGGTGGGCTGAGGCTCCTCCACTCGCGAATGTACCTGCAGGATACCGGGCGGAGGTGCCCGGAGGAAGAACGTGGCATGAAGACCTGCAGACGAAACCGGGCTTGATGGCACGAACAGCCTCAGCTACTGAGGAGGCTGAGGCCGGAGGATCACCAGAACCAAGAGTTCGAGGCCAGCCTGGGTAACATGGAGAGACCTGCCTCTTAAATTAAAAAAAAAAAAAAAGAAAGAAAGAAAGAAAACTGGACAAACAAGTTGGCTCAGAACCAGGACGCCAAACTCAGGCCTGGGCACTTGTCTTGTTTTCCTTCTTCTTCTCCTAGTGTGTGTGTGTGTGTGTGTGTGTGTGTATGTGTGTGTGTGGTGTGGTGGTGGTGGTATTAGGGATCAACCCAGGGTTGCTCCCATCCCCAGCCCCTTTTTTTTTAATTTATTCTGAGGCAGGGTCTTGCCAAATTGCCCAGACTGGCCTCAAGCTTGCCATCCTCCTGGCTCAGCCTCCTCATCCTAAGTAGCCTTTAGGACACTACTGGCTCATGGCCATGGGCATAGGGGTTGGCTCCCAAATGTGAAAAGAATGCCTATGACATCCTTGAGTCTTTTTTTTCCCTCAGTATTGGGGGTTGAACCCAAGGATGCTCTATCACCATTGAGCTATATCCCAACCCTGTTTATTTTATTTTTGAGATAGGGTTTCTCTAAATTGCAAGAGCTGGCTTTGAACTTGTGATCTTCCTGCCTCAGTCTCCCAAGTCACTGGGATTACAGGCATGTGCTACCACACTGGACATCCTTGGGACTGTATTAGCACCCAATGGCCTCCCAATAAGTTCTTTAGCCTGATATCCACAGTTCCCCTGCCAGACCTTCCAAACTCAGCTCCTGCATCAACCTCTCCTCCTTTCCCATGATGCCTAGCCATGCTAGCCTTCACTGCTTAGGACCTGCCCTAGCACAGCCTCTCTACCACTCTTTCCCCTGCTGAAATGCTCTTGTCTCAGCAAAACATATATTCCCACCACCTGTTTCCATATGGGAAAGCTGTGTTGTAGCAACCAACCTGGCCTTTCACCTATGTCTTAAGCTATGTTTTACAAACTAGTATATCAGTAATTGTAGCAAATCGTATTTTCTTTCCTTTCCTTTTTTTTTGGGGGGGGCATGCTAGGGATCCCTTTTTTGGGGGGAGGATGCTGGGAATCCAACTCAAGGTCTCACACACAGGCACACTAGGCGAGCACCCTACCGCTGAGCTATATCCCCAGCTCAGCAAATCGTATTTTTCAACAAAGATATCCTTTCCTGGGTGTGGTGGCACATGCCTGTAATCCCATTTACTCAGGGGACTGAGACAGTAAAATCTCTAATTGGAGGTCAGCATAGGCCATTTAGCAAAGACTCTTCCTTAACATATTAATTAATTAATTAATTTAGAAAAGGTGGGAGGATGCAGTTCAGTGGTAGAGTGTTTGTTTAGAAAGCACAAAGTCCTGAGTTTGTTCCAACACCTATAATAAGTAAGTAATAAATAACTTTAAAAATGTCTCCAATTCCACATGCTCATTTTACAATGTGACCTTGACACTTTTGCTATCAAGTGATGGGGTCTGTGTTCCCCTTCTTTGAACCTGGGTCTATCTTTGTGATAGTAAAATAGGGTGGAAGTAAAACTGTGTGACCTCTGAAACTGGGTCATAAAAATACCAGGTGCTCTCTTGGGACACACTTGGAATCCAGCTTTTGCTGTGAGGAAGTCACACTAGTTCATGTGGAGAGACCTGGGGAGGTCACGAGTAGGTGTCTTGACAGGCACCCAGCTGAGGGGCCAGTCTACCGCCAGCACCAACTTACAGACACATACATTGCTGTGATTTGAATGTGCCTCCCCAAAAGCATGTGTTAGAAACAATCCCCAAAGCAGTGGGAAGAAGAGCCCCATGAGAGGTGGGTAGGCCACGAGGGCCGAGTCAATGAGCTAGGGAGTGGGGTTCTTACAAAAGGAAAGTTTCTTCCTCTCATGCTCCTTCTTGCCCGCTTTGCCTTTCTGTCTCCTACCATGGGATGAGGCAGAAAAAGGCCCTCAGCAGATCCTAGTCTTTCCCATTTGGACTTTCTGGCCTATAGACTGTGAGCCAATAAATTGTCATTTCTTATAAATCATCCAGCCTGTGGTATTTTATTAGAGCAGCACAAAGTGGACTAAGACATACATCTTGAGATGATTCCAGACCCAGGCCCTCAAGTCCTTCCTAGCCATCTGGTCTTTCCAGCTGATGCCCCACACATCATGGAGCAGAGACAAGCCATCCCTGTTGTGCCCTTTCTGAATCTCTGACCACAGAATCCATAGGCATCAAAGTTGTTTTATACACAGTTTACAGGAGGTTTCTCATGCACCATAGTAACTAGAACAGTAAGTTGTTCTGATTTCAGTACCCTGACTCCTCCTCAGGCCCTCAGTTGTCATAACTTGGGCAAAGAAGAGTATATATCTATCTAT